ATTGGTCATGATTTCTTGGCTATGACACAAAAGACACAAGCAACAAAAGAAAAAATAGCCAAATCAGACTTCCTAAAAAATTTTTTTAATTTCGTGCATCAAAAGACACCATCAACAGAGTGACAAGTCTAGCCATGGAATGGAAGAAAACATTTGCAAATCACATACCTGATAAGGGATTAATGTCCAGAATGCACAGAGAACTCAAAACTCTAAACAAAACAGCAACAACCTGGAGCAAAAATGGGCAAAAGGGTTGAACAGACATTTCTCCAAAGAAAATATCCAACCAGTCACTAAACACATGGAAAGGTGCTTGATATCAATAATCATTCAGAAAACGCAAACCAGCACTACAATGAGATCCCACCTCATACACGTTAGGATGGGTAGTGTTTTTAAAAAAAAATAGATAGTAACAAATGTTGGTAGGATATGGAGAAAGTGGAACCCTTGTGCACTGTTGGTGGGAGTGTGAAATGAAATAGCCATCGTGGGAAAGAGTACAGAAAGAAAAAAACAAAAATAGAAATACCAAAAGGTCCACCGATTCCACATCTGGTTTGTGTCAGGATTGAAAAAGAAAAGTCTTGAAGAATATCTGCACACCCACATTCATAACGTTATTCACAGAGCTTACAACGTGGAAGCAATCTGGGTGTCCACCAGCGGGTGGCCAGCTAAGCAAAACAGGTCTGTACACACAACAAAGTCATAGCCCACCTTAAACAGGAAAAATCCCGGCCCACGTTACAGCACGGGTGAGCCAGGAGGACACGATGCTGAGTGACACAGCCATCGGAAGGACGGATTCCGCATGATTTCACCTGCGTGCGGTCCTCAGAGTCCTCAGTCACAGAGACAGGGAGTGGGACTGCAGGGCCAGTGGGAGTGGTAGGAATGGGGGAGTTATTGCTTCAGGTTTTTGAGATTTAAAGAGTTATGGAGGTGGGTGATACTGATGGTTTCACAACATTGCGGATGTATTTAATATCACCAGGACAGGACGCTTAAGAAGGTTTAAGATGCTAAATTTGCATATTTTACCACAATAAACACATTTTTTAATTGAAATTCAATAAGCCAACATGCAGTACCTTGTTAGTAAACATGTTTCTTAAGCAGGGGAAAACGAGAGAAACCTGTAGCCCACAAAGAAAGTGGCAGTGCCTCAGGAATGTCTGAAGCCCTTGTCTGCCTTACCTGTAGAAGAAAGCAGGGACCTTTGGAAAGGAGCTACAGGTCTGGCTGGCCCAGGACCCAGAGGAGCGGACGGGGCTCTGGGGGAGCCGGAAGAGCGGCCACTGCAGCTGAACAGAGAGAGTCTGTGCCTGGAAAAAAGAAAGAAATCGGTTAATATACACATGAATGTCATACAAAATAAGGGACCATCCTAGAATTGCACCTGCCACCCTCGCTCAATCCGATCTTCTCTGTGGGGTGCTCGTGGTTGACACACACATGCCCCAGGACTCCAAGACTCGTGCCAGGTACTCAGGTCACAAAGGGGACATAGTCCATGACCTTAAGATATGTGAGACCGTGGGATGGTGGTCCAGATGTTTTCTTTTTTAAAGATTTTATGTATTTATTTGAGAGAGAGAGAGAGCCGGGGAGGGGCAGAGGGAGAAGCAGGTTCCCCACTGACCCGGGAACCCGATGTGGGACTCAATCCCAGGACCCTGAGACCATGACCTGAGACGAAGGCAGAGGCTTAACACACTGAGCCACCCAGACACCCAAGAGATGTTTTCTTACTCTGTAAACTTAGGTAAAAGCATTTTGCTGTGCATGGGGTGGCCTCGTCCTCACCAGACAGGGCCTGTGTCATGTGTACCCAGAGGACAAAGGCCCTGAGCTTAGGGCTGCCCTCCCTCGCCAAGCACTCCAAGCTGCTGTCCATGGTTCTGCTTTTGGTTTTACTGAGGCACCATGATTTCTCTTAATACATAAATTTCAGTTTTTTATAAAAAATCTTTCATAAATTTTCAGTTTTTATTTAAGCAGAGGCCAGGCCACTGGGCTTGCCAGCTGTGCGCCCAGGGACGGGCCTCTGCCCCTCTGCCTGTCCCCGTTGCCTGCTCCACATTGCCACAGCTCTCAGAAGCCGTGAGACGCACACGCGCAGCTGGCAGTCATGGTGGTGGCCGGCTGTGTCTGGACAGAGGAGGGACACAAGTAAGGCTGGGCAGCAGAACAGCAGGGAGTCCGCCCCGTGACCGCTGTGCTCGGCGCCAGGGACAGGACCGTGAGCTGCACCCACACGCCCTGGTCCTCACGGACGGTCACACAGCTGAGCCGGCACACAAACTGCCGAGAAACGTCCCAAGGCCCTGCCTGGAGACCTGCAGGGGCCAGCCAGGGGGTCCCTGACCCACTGAGCATAACGGGCCTCCAGGGACCTCAGGCCCAGCGCCTCAGGAAGCCGGCCGTGCTCTGCCAGGCCCTGCCAGCGTTCACATGCATCTGATTTCCCGGGAGGGGTCGACTCCCACCCAGAGCGCTGGCAGGACTCTGTCCACCGGACTCCAGCCTGTAGATGCGCGGGGCAGGGTTAGGCTTAGGGTGGGTCCCGGCAGGGCTGACCCACCCTGGGAGCTGCCACGACCACGACATGCGGAAGGTAAAAGCCGGTTGTCTGTGACCTACCGAGGGGTCACCTGCAGCAGCCAGATCCAGGTGGCGGGGTGGGGGTTGCGGCGACCCCGAGCCAGGGCGAGGGCCCGGCTGGCATCCTGTGCTGTCCCATAGGGCCTGCCGCACGATGACCCCCTCGGGCTCTGATATATCTGTTCCGGGGTGCTGTCTGGAGCATCTTCAGAGCCTGTCCTTTGCCTTGGAACCAAGGTGAATATTCCTCAGAGACAAACCCAGAATTTCAACACAGGGAAAGTGCATAGCCTCGCCCGCTTTCTTGTGAAAGTCATTCTGGAGAGATCGGACCCTGGGAGCTAGGCTGGGGACACTGTGTAGTCTCTGACAAAGACGGTGCACGGCCACGCCCATAGCAGCCAACTCAGCCTGCCCCGCACGTTGACCAGGGATAGCAGGGCCTGGCACCAATCTCATCGAGGCAGGTCTTCCCACCGGAGGTGCCGCAGATCCTACTGCTCCATGAGCACCCACAGGCCACACTCTGGCCAGCAGAGTGGGCCGCACCGTGGCCGGGAGCGTGGCCGGGCTCTGCGGCTAGCCACCACCACAGGGAGCCGGGCTGTGCCAGCCAGGGCCATGGGGAGGCTTCGCCTGGGACAGGTCCGTGGCGGGGTCCCCACGACACTCCCTGCACCACAACGGTGGCCACAGGCATTTTGCAAAGCAGCCACAGAGATACTTCTAGGAGGACAGGCTTCCACCTCCCAGCCTGCCCCAAGCAGAAAGGCATGACCCTCCCCAGAAGCCCAGGGGCTGTGTGCCTCTCTGGGGAGGGGGTGCGCAAAATGAGCCACGGTCACATCTCTGAGGTCATGACCGGAGGAGACCTAGCTTCTGCTGGGACTCGGGTGCCAGGCACCGCGCAGCCATCCCGGGAATGCCTGGTGCCACACTGGGGAGTCCCCGGGGGGCCCAAGCCCCAGATGCCAGGAGGTGCCTGGAGAGCTCACGAGCATGAGTGTGAGCAGAGCTGACTGGAGGGCTCTCCGCCCGCAGACCCCTGACTACAGGCAAGAGCACGGGCCCCGTGTCATGGGGACCCTGCACCAACAGACCAGCATCTGACACTTGGACGGAGTGCTGCTGGGGAGCCCCAAATCCAGGGGAATGACAGGGGATGCAGCACAAGCCTTCCCCACCACCCCCCGTCTTCCAGGCTCCTGGCACTGCTTGCAGGGGAGCTTACAGGGCTCCCAGGGGTCCCCATCCAAGCCCTGCCATGGTGGTAAGGGACAGCCCTGGGCTGCACACGTGGTCCTCCAAGACACAAGAAACAGAGGGTTCCTGTCCTCCGACACGGCCGCTGAGCCTCAGCCCACGTGACAGGAGGGCAGGTGTACACTGTCCCTCAGGGAAAGGGGAGCATCAATCTCATGACCACCAGGAACTCTGTCCATGCACTTAAGACTTCTCTGTGCTTTACAGCACAGGTGTGGCAGGGATACTAGCTTCCTTCTGACAGGGGAGAGAGCACCAGCCTTCAGACGGAGCTGGGCCATGGATGATGGAACAGGAGGACGACATTTTAGGTGGGAGGCATTTTGCTGTGTGGACAGGACAAGCGTAAGCCTGGTCCGCAGCTATGGGTCAGGGGCCACACTGCAGGCTCACGGGGGCACAAGGAGGAGCCCACCAGGGTTGGGGGCACCGAGGGCTCAGCGGAGAGCAGGTTAAGCTGGTCTGCCCGGGAGCAGACAGCAGACATTTCCCTGCAGGAGGCAGAGAGCAAGGTGAACATGTACAGGGTTGGGGGGAAGGGAGGTTTCTGTGCTCTCCCTTGGGACCCCAGGCACCCACCAAACCCCACCCCCACACACCCACGTGTCGGGAGGTCCCCCAGCTCCTCTGAGACAGAAACCACCCAGAAGAAAAGGGAACTTCAGGAAGCAAGCCAAGCCCCTCGGTTTCGATCCTGTTCTTAGTCTTCCCAGGGCTTCCTGGAAGCTAGGAAGCAGGGCTGTGGGCACAGAGCCCAGCCACAAGGACGCCCGTGTGCCTGGACTGTGGCAGGGAGGAGGCGGGTGCGGGCATGAGCGGGGCTGCAGGATGGCTCCTTGCACAGCTCCGACCATGGTGAGTGGGGTCTGCACGGAGCAGGGGCAGAGGGAGTGAGGGGCGACCCCAGAACCGGCTGCAGGAGCTGAGGACAGACCACACCCTCGGGACCCCTCAGGAGGCAGGAGCAGCTGAGCCAGCACGGGGCAAGGCAGGGGGCAGACAGGCTGCCCAAGGCCCATGGCCCAACCCAGGGCAGGGACGAGAGGGGCACGGGAGGGGCACACCCACGCCAACACTACAGGACACACCAGATGCAGATGAAGGAGGGCCAGGACCAGGGCCTTCAAGGATGGTGACGGGAGATGGGCAGAAGCCTGAGGGTTGCCGTTCACCACCTGTGCTGGGAGCCCGGGCTGGGCCATCTAGAGTCACAGCAGGATCGATGCAAGGATGGACAGAGGGGTCTGAGGGGAGGACACAGGGAGGGGCTGGCTCAGCCCCAGGGAGGAAGAGGCCTCCAGGGGTCCTGACCACCCAAGGGAGCCAGCTCAAGCCCCAGGGCAGGGTCG